GAGAATATCCCTGCAAAGTTTCAGCTTTCTGCCTTGCCTGGTTCGCGAAATCGTTTCCCGCCAACAAGTTTCTTTGGGTGTCCCGTACGCGGGGTCTAGGCGCGCATAGGAAAAGATCTTAAAACGAGAGGATGATACACGGAGTAGGAACATATATCCAAAGTTTCAGCCTCCCAACTTTCCTGGTTGCTGAGATGAAAGTGGGTGATAAAATGGAAAACTCGCTTTCCGTACACACACACACACAGGCAGCCTCTCGACAGTATGCGTTTTTGCTGGCTGTAGCAGCGCTATAGCACCGCACAGCAAAAACGCATAAAAAAGTAATTCTAGCTCATCGTTTTTTTCTTTTACTGTTATTACTATATTTGTCCTTTATTATTATTTATTGAGCGAATACTGATATACTAAATTCTTATTGCTGTTGCTTCTGCGATCATCCCATGCATTTGTCAGCCGTTTTGCTTTGCGGTAGCTCCGGAATATATTAAACACTGAAGTAGCTTCACGGTGCCGGGTCTTTGCTTTTGAAAACCTGCGTGAATAACTGGGCAAGAATAAATTAGAATAATTAAAAAACAAGTGTATTTTTTATAGGAAGGAGCGGAAACGTTGTTCTTGAAATATGACGGAGCGAATGTGAATGAGAGCCAGAGAACACAGCAGCTACAGTTACGAATGTCGCTTTGGCACGACGTGGTGTCCGGCTTCAATAGCTATTTCCATGGGCAAGTGCGCATTGCTGTTGGCGATGACACTGAGAAACAGGAAACAAGCGGACCTCACTGGTTTGTTTCAAAGTTGCACAACTTTCTAACCTTCTATGTATCCAGAAAACTCAGAGTAGCTGAATTTGATTTATCTGATAAGACGCTTTTTCACCTTTTTTATTACTCTTGTCTTCTTTATTTTTAGTTCATTTTAAAACAGGCTGAAGTAGCGCATGAGTACCAGGAACAGCCATATTCTTATTACTGGACAGGTCTTGATTCTGAGACCAAATGAATAGCACTGAGCGAACCCGAACAAGCTGTTTCAGTTTTTTATGCGTTTTTGCTGTACAGCCAGCAAAAAAGTATATTGTCGAGAGGCTGTGTGTGTGTGTGTGTGTGTGT